AGGAATTGGATAGTACAAAGAAGAAAGAAGAAGGCAGTGAGCCACCCATAGAGCATATCCCAATACGGTTTGTTTCATGAAACTTCTCGAATTCGGAATTTCAGATTGCCTAGTGCTGAGCACCCCTAATCCTGCTAATTCAAGCCACATTTCTGGAGTATTCCCCCGCCAACATTTCTTCTTCCTATTTTCAGCGTTTGTTCCACATTATAGCGGTGTCCGCTTTCCTATTTTGTTGACTCCGATCCCGCCACTTTCCCGATTCAGTGCTTGATCGGGGTGGATGCCAACTAACTTCAAGTCCTCGTGCAACGTATCGAGCCATCGCTGCTTCGGGCGTCCTTAGGCCGCTTTCCGGGCACGTCAATGTGAGACCGATCTTACGGACACTGTCATCATTTGCGCGAAGAACGTGACCGTACCATCGAAGCGAGCTTCGCGCATCTTATCAGCGATGGGAGCCACACCGAACCGCTTTCTGATGGTATCGTTGCGAATGTGGTCTAACGCGTGACTCCGGCTGTCCAGCGGAGCATTTTGTCTCCATCACACCGAGACGGGCTTCAACTTCTTTAGTCGCAGGCCAGCTCAGCACCGTAAATGGCGACCGGCCGGATGACGGTTCTATAGATCTTGGATTTGAGACGCTCTGGTATATTCTTATCGCAGAGAACGCCAGTCATCGAGCGCCATTTCGACCAGCTGCACTCACGCGAGAATTCGACTTCAAAAGCCAAGCTGCCGTCAGACGCAATTGTCGATCCAAGATACTTGAAGCGCCGTTAGTGCGTGTGAGCTCAGTGCCTTTGATTTTATAGAACCGGATTCGTTCAACACGGTGGTCAAGTATTCGTCTTTTTGACGTTCAGCCTGAGTCCAAACAACTCTAGGTATCGTATCAAGCCTGCACTAGATGCTCGAGTAGCTTTTTGTCTTCGCAGGCGAGCATACCGTCATCAGCGTACGGAAGCGTCCATGGAGCTGGTTTCTCTGAGATCTCCTAACTATGTCCTGACAACAACGGCATAGCGAGGCCGGCAGAACGCTTTGGTGTACCCTGGCGGAGATGAGGAATTCCGTTGACATGCCTGCAGCCGTTTGCACTGAACTCGTAAAGCTCGAGTATAATATATGCAACCACTGAGCTCCTCGGGGAACATTCTGTCGTAGAGCATACCATATAACCTTCACGGATACTAATCGAAGGCTCCCGTACATAGTCTAGGAAGACTACTTGCCACTTGCCTCTTCCCGCGGATGCTTTCGAGAAAGAGATGAGCTGCGTGTATGGCATAGATGGTGCCACCAGCTGGACAAAATCCGCAGCTTGATAGAAAACTGCGCGATATCGCAAATTTGGCTGTCGCCAACCCGCTAAAATATCTTTTGTGCTATGCGAGAGCATGCGAATGGACGCGTAGTTCGCGGGGCTATCCTTCCTCGTTTAAATCGGAGTCGCCGTGCTCCCCTGCCTGCTTTCAGGCGCTCCCTTCTCAGGTACGATCTGGTTGAAGAACTCCGTCCAAAACATAATTTTGAAGCGCTAGTATTATTTTTCCTTTATGCCTTTATTTAATGAGTACTTGAGGTGGATGGCTCCGGAAACATTGAGGCGGCCGCAGTTATGGTCGGCTAAGAGCGACGTTTGGAGCTTCGGAGTGGTTCGTCTTCTACAACATCTTACTTTCGTCTTTCCAGGTCTGGAATACTAGGATCTTCGGGATAAGAATTAGGAGTTATAGAGCTCAGAATGTTGTTCTAAATCAATTCATTTTTTTAAAATTAAGATGACCATGCTGTTAAAGCTATGACTATCCACGCTACATTTGGAACGCGCCCGACATATCAATAATTGACGATTCTCCAGCAGTTGGCGATTCGATTTCGCTGAATTTATTTGAAAAATTGCCAGTTCTTGATGAACGGACGTGGAGGAGGACGTCGAAAATAGTGAAACTAAAAAATGCTATCAAACAAACTAGATCAAGATTGATGGATGTGCTTCATCTCAAACTTTCGGGACTAGATTCGACAAGATAGAGGTCGGCCATCGAGTTTTGATGGAAATATCACATCATAGAAATAATGACACATTTTCTCGGACAGTAAAGTAGGGGAACGTAAAGCAGGAATTGTGACTGAGTGGGTGATAAATCACTGACAGATTCATTCGTAGAAACATAGAGTTTGAGTCAATTACCGGTTTGGTTGATTTTCGTCTTCTGGGGACCTCACTTTGCAAGCTTGTTGGCCGGTAATTCCTCTATAATTGTACAAGAGAATTTCGATTTGATTTTTGGCATTTTGTATTTGAATTGAATCCAAACGCATTTCAATTTTCATAGAATACGACAATATAACTATTTTGAAAATGCAAAACAAAAAAACAAAAAACTCAAATTTCTCATTCAAAATGCAACGCATTCTCTTTCAAACGATATACATATAAGATTGTGTGGAAACATGGGAAGTAGTCTTGGAGTGAAAATTCGGAAAAACTGGCACTACTCTTCTGACAAGTCCAATATTTAAAGAAACTTTGTTGCAGCTTCTGTACGAAATGTTCAACAACGGGGAAAAGCCGTGGCCTGATGACGAACCGAAGAGGATTGCAACTCATATACGGTTCGTCGTTATCGTAATTTTTGCACTTTAGGTAAGCTTACGCCTCTTTCCTTTTTTGAGCCACGAAATCGACTATCTAAATTACGAATTCCTAATCCTTTTCATGGAGAGTTTTTTCATTCAGTGGATCATTTAGAAATAAAACTCTGAGAAATGTCGATACGAATTTTTTGGCTGATCACCTGGGGAAATAAGGTTACGAGAAAGAGGAGAGAGGATCGGCGCAGATAAAAGTGGGGCTTCCGCGGAGGTGTAAGGCGCAGAGTCCTGCCTTGCGAACGCTCAGAAGCTTATGCACACTATATGAGGCTTATCGATGTTGATAACGGCTTCATGTTCGAAATGATAATGTTATCATTTGTATCACATTCCATTCTGATTAGATGTACATACCTTATCTTATCGTAGGGTAGACTTTGCCGAATTATCTGCGCTTAAAGGCAAACTCCGGGATAAAACGAGGGACTCACCTGTTCGAGTATGAAGAGCTGGGTGCCAAGTTGATCGAAGGTAATGAAAAAAGCAGGAAATACCTCCAAAGAACTACAAAATTAGAAATTCTCCTCGTCAGGGAGGGGACCACCCTTAACGAACCCTGTTTGGACATGTCTACAGCAACTGTTGGCTTTGTGCCATCAACCGACACGACCACAAGAAGTCAGCAATGAAAAGTGATTTTTCCTAGTTTCCCTATTTTTTCTATTTTCCTGTGCTTTTTTTGTTTGCTTTATCTTGAACTTTTTTCTTCTCACTAGATGATGGCAGCGTTCTCCAAAATGGTCGTAAGATAGGTTTGATGTCGATTTTCGTAATTGAAATCCGCTATAATACATTCCTAACCCTATATTTCAAAGTAGACGACATGCTTTTATGACATCTAGTCGTTCCAGGTGGTGATATGGAAAAAATTGATCGTAGGAAGGGTGAGCGGTGGCAGCTTCATCCAAGTAAAAGGGGGCATCAATTGGCTGTCCTCACACAACGCCATCTCACTAGACTACCCTATACACCCTCTGAAAGTGGAAGAACACCGCACAGGTTCTTCGAAGGAACGGAACGCCCGTGAGCCAGGGGGGGTGTATGTAACTTAGTGTTGAAGCTTCTATATCCGAGTTAAGCGGTAGCGCAAATTAGCGGATTATCTGGTAGCGGCACGCGCAGGTCACCTTCCCACATTCCAAAATAGTCCTGTGGCTGACAATTATCTTCAGTTTCAAAAATCTAGAGCATTAATGCGCGAAGTGTGTGTGGGAATATCAGATCTGAATTAGTGTTTTTGAACTATGAATTTGAATATCAAATTTAAATTCTTTTAAATTTATCTCCGCTTTTCCATTTCTTCTACAACTTTTACTCTTACTCAAATGGCCTTTGAATTGGGTGTCGGGTCTGTAAGGCTAAAAGAAAAAAGAGGAACCGCCATAAACATGTGCGAAAGGCTATGCCCTATTAGGAATTTGCCTCCTTCAGGCGAAGTGATAAAGGTGTGTGTTGTTGATGTCTATTATTTATACAAAAATGTAAGGTGAGGCAACAGTCAGTGTGCACAAACATTATTCGTCCAACAATTTTTGAGAACGCTTTGTGTTTTTCGACTGCTATTAATTGAGCCTGGTATTTCTTGTATTGTCATCTGAGATCTTCATTAAATCATCTGTCATAGATATATCATCATTGATTATTAACAACGTATCGCCAACGCGAAGGTGTGTGGGGGGCGGTGGGTATTCAGTGCCTCTCTTGTGGACTTTCATAGAGTTCTGATCGAAGGAAAATTGTAGTCCCGAATCAGTTCTCAACCCAATCGACATCATCAAGTTCCTGTTGGTTTCCTATAGTTCCTTCGGATGACCATCTATAATACTCATTGGTGATGTGGACTGGGTGCAATGTGCTAACAAATCCACGAGCCGCAGTAGATTTGCTCAAACGATTCGGGAGTTCTGACAGTACAAACCAAACCCAACTCCCTCTGAATTCGAACTTCCTGAGTCGTTGGCGCAATACGGGAGGGCCTTTGCGCTGAAGACCGGCATCAACTAATACCAGTGTCAGTGATGGGAAGAATCGTTGACAGCTTGATGGCAACGCCTCCAACAGGAAAGCAAACTAAGGTGTGAAACCAGGCGCACAATTTTTCGCACCTATTGCGGAGACGTGACCTCATTACACGGCTGACGGCTTAAGGGCCCCAGGTAGAAGCAAATAATCATGCAGGAAAAACAAGTCCATTTCGATTTAATAGTATTAAAAAGACTATTTTTTTATTTATTCACGAAAGATCAAATTCATAAACATAATCACAGTCTATGTAGTTGCGAAGTGGCGCTCACCACGCGAGCGGTTCAGGGATCAAATCCTGGGTCGTGAGTCGCCCGGGCCAACCAAGCCTTCCATCCCTCCGGGGTCGGTTAATTGGTACCAGACTTGTCTGGGAGGATAAAAACACTGACTTGAACATCGGCTGGCCCCCGCAAGTCATTGTATAGGCCACATCGCATTCAAACGCCACTGCGAATGTACAAATGGAAGTAGAATGCGTGCCGCATCCCAAAAAGGGATTGATCAACGGCAAATGCTTTATCCTTTATCCTTTATGTAGTCTTCCATTCCCCTTTTGCACCGCAAATCCTTAAATGGACCACTCATCCAGGTGCTTTCTAAATAGTGAAGGAATTCCTGACACTTTATATAATCAAGTGTTGCTGGGGTGGAAAATGTGTGAGGGGCCAAATAAAACGATAAGAGGTTTGAAACCCCAGAGAAACTGGAACGCACTAGAAGACATTACGACACAACAAAGGTTGGTAAGGCTCACTGTTGTATGTATGTTGCATCTATGCTAGCTTAAATACCTTCCATAACCTTCCCTCAAAGTGTTTCTTTTTACAGGGACCCTGCGAAGTGGTATGGGGGGGGGGGGGGGGGGTAGCCTAAGCCCCTGAAAAGTCATAGAGGAAGCACATCTATAACTGACTTGCTTGAGGGAGGACAGTACCGCTTGGCTAGAGACGTGAGGTTTCATCGAAAGTAAACGGGTCTCCTTGACTCCCCCCACTCTTCTTGCTTAGTTTCTTACAATCAGTAAAGTGTTCAGGAGTTTTGTAGTTTCTAATACCTTGCTTCAGCTTTCAGTTACAACTAGTTAGTGGTAGTTGGTTGGTGATAACGAGTCATTTTTTGCTTTTCTGTATATGAGATTGGCATTATTTGCCCATTTTAATGAGCATATTCTTTATTCATGTTTGTTTTGTTGTGTGGCCTTGTGAATGACTGCCATTTCTACATGTCCAGTACACATGTTTGGGTGGTGTTGTGACCCCTAGGCCGTCTCCCTTAATGAGGTCACTTCGCAGTTATTCGCGGAGTATTCTTAATTAGGTGTGAATCGTACCATTTTATACTTGATGGCAACGCCTTCAACTTGAAAGCAAAGGAAGACAAAATCTATTTTTCTCTGAGGTCGTTCGAGCCCGCCTTGCTAAGAAAATTCCTAAAAAATTGGAGACTCTCGGGCGGTCAGTTCTTTTAGCTCCGCCTTATAGCACTAATCCTGCGTCAACGAACGACTATCCGCTCTCCTCTCTCAATCACCTTCTGGAGAAGAAATCTCACTTGAATCACCATAAAGTCAAAATCGACATCCAATATTTCTTCGATCAGAACTCTATGAAATCTATAGAAGGGACACTGAATACGGCGCACGCCTCCAGCGTAGCCCTACATGTTGGTAATAATAGAGATGTATACTGTGCCGAATAAATACATCAGAGAAATAAAATAAGTAATGAAGTCGAAAAACACCAAAGGTTCTCAAGAATTATGGACCGACCGAATATTTATATTTGCTATATTTATATATAGCAATCATGTACATTTCTAGTTTTGTTTCCACCTTCGTTTTTAGTAATTTGTATGGTATTAATAAAGTTTTCATTTGATATTCAAAAATTTATAGTTCAAAACACTAATTCGCTCTGATATTATTCCACACACTTCGTTTTGCTTATTTTGAAGCTGCCAAGAAATGTCAGCATCCAGCGCAGGCAATTAAGTGGGGTCATCCCACAGGCTATTTTGGGAATGTGCGAAGTGACCTGCCGTGCGCTACAGTAATCCGCTAATTACGCTACCGTACTCAGCTCTAGCAACTTCAAACTAAGTATGCTAGGACCCACCCCCGCCAGGGGGAGTGAAGCCACTTCAGGGGGGTGAGGGCAGCTATTCGTTGCATCACAATGCCCCCCCCCTTTACCGTAGGCGGCGCTCGGTGGGCGGGCCGGCGGCGCCAATGCTCCAACCTGGGCCCCTAGCGCCTAAACCTTATCAAACGCCCCGCCACTTCTGCACATGGTCTGCCCTTGCGTACTGCTCCATATTTGACGGGGAAAAGAAATTTCGCCAGAAATCCCGGAATTTGCCTTAAATCATCATCATAGCCGCAACTCATCCACAACTCAACATCATTAGACAATGTGAAGATCCTGGTTTGTAAGCCTTCAGCGGATTCTTTCGGGATTTTTTGTACTATTCGCATTCACTTTTTACCTCTCCCTTACAAGGGGGGGGGGTCTTTCAGGGCAAGCCGCGCTTTTTCAAAACGGTTTCTTGCATATTGTAGGGACGCATGTAGGGAACACAAAACCATGTTTCATTTTCGCTGAACGGTTTTAGCAGTACCAAAAAAGAAGCATAAGGTACTGTTAATGGTTCGATCCCCCGTGGCGACTAAATTTTGCATTTGGGTTGGCGCCTACGGTTTGGTGCCAAATCGCGCTAAATGTCAAAATCAGATGTCATATTCATCGTCAGGACCATTTTGAAGCCAGAAATAGCCGCCCTGAAAAACCTGCTTGTTAGATTAGCGCGTCACTGCCCTTGAAGGCCAAAATAATCTTTGATATATGCAGAATGGCTCACTTTCAGAAGAGGGAGAATGCCCGCTATGCCTCCTGGCACACCGCCCCAGATAGTACAACTTACAACGAACATATGGTATGTGCATAATGAGGGTCACTGAGGCTACATCTAAATTTTCTCCACAATGCTTTGTTCAAGGAATATCAGCCCTGAATCAAGGCCTACGATGGACGAATTGTGCAGGCATCTTAAAACGCTAAATAAAGTGGATTTCAAGGTGAGTCAGCTTCACGTGCAATGCAGCGTTCCCCAATTTCATTTTGAGTGTATATTTTTTGCGCACTAAAAGCTGGAGCCACCCTTCAGAGATATAACGAACAGCTTGGCATGCATCACAACTGGCAACGTTACTTTTTGCCATGCTTCCCAGGCGACGTATATTGAAGAGACAAAGCAGAGGGGTTGCACAAGAAATTGGCTGAGGTTAGATGAAGCAATTGCGCGTTGGAGAGCAGCGGTAGTGGGCGTGCCAAAAAATTCTGGGCTGGAGTTTTCAGTCGCGGTGGGCTCACCAATGGCTCTGCGGCAAAAGTTTTGTTCATGACCTATAGCACTATGTGAATTTTTTTACGACACGAACCGCGACGTTCAAACAACAGTTAACAAACAAAACAAATAGAAGTCGATAAAGAGTGTCGTTCAGCTGGACAAGACAAAATTGACCACAGCCAGGACAGAGTTCAAGTCTAGGACTGAATCATGGGCCAGGGCAAGTGACATTCAAGATTGAGAGCGCGAGTTATTAGCCCCTTTGTTCCCTCGATAAATAGGGTGCAATAGGACACCAAACGGACCAAACTAGCAGTGATGCCCTGCATAGTTGATGTGAGCGTTGTTGCGAGCTTTCCCATAATTTTTGGTATCATCGACTAGAATTTCGATTCCAGCACCATTTGCATTATGAGCAAGAGTACTGGAGAAGATAAGCTTGTTCGCGAACTTGGTTTAATGAGATAACTTGGAGATAAGCATAAAAGAATCTGAAAGCAAGTGAGGGAAACAACGGTCCAGCAGTCTCGACATTTTGTCTCACTTTCTTGTATCCATGGGGCGGTATTCAATCCTTCCCCTAGGGGTTGGGGGACGAAAATCCCTTTAAATTTTCTCTGTCTTCCCAACTGGGATTGTCCTGATAAAGGGCCTAGGTTTAATGTATGTATGTATGTCACAGTAAGCATGCATTGAAAATGAAGAAACTACATCGTTAAAAACAAATAAATTTAAAGGGATTTCCGTCCCCCAACCCCTGGGGGAAGGATTGAATACCGCCCCAGGCCGACTAAGGTATGATTCCGCCAGAATCTGGATTGCGGTGATGAGAAGTCCCTTTAAATTTTTGATTTAAGCAGTCTGTTTAGTGATTTGTACAATGCAATGCTTACGCTTAAAGGAAGCAGTCACGATAATTTTCATGGCAACGATAAGGAAAGCTATGTATTGGAGTGGATAGAGGTCCTGCCCAATGTTAGAACACGTAAAGTTTCAGTGGCAGTGGCCCCTTATCAATGAAGTGATAAGGAGCCGAAATTCACTCAAGTTCAGCAAAAACCAAGACTTATCGATGTGGAAAGGGGTGCGATAAGAGCGTGCTAGATATGATACCGTTATCGTTATCGTCCCGTTTTCATTCTGGAGTGCACCTCTTATCAAGCAGCCGCACCTTCTTATCTCATCGTATCATATCTTCCATGGGCTTACACTCGTCCAACAATTACTGCCTCACACCTTATCGATTGATA